AAAAATTTTGAATCATGCGCGCGCGCGCGTTCTCGCGAGCTGCTGCTGCTGACTGCACTGCATGGCGTCTTCCACTCAAGTGCGCATTCGTGATTCGCACTCACTCGCATCCAGCTCCACTCTCAGGCTCCGTAATCACAATCACCAAGGTTGCTTTGAGTAATCATTTCCCCTCACCCAAATCTGTCGCCCCCACCACCACCGCTCCCAATGACGACGACAGTGGGCACCTACGCCCCACTGGACCGGGCTGAAGCGAGCGCATCGCTGGAAGCGGCGCTGTCCAAGATCAGACACCACATCAACTCCAAGCTGGAAAATCAAAAGCAGCCTGCGCTCTTGCTGTCGGCAGTAGAAGCGACGCTCAAGGAACAGCAGCAGCTCAACAATGGCGCCTCTACTAGCCGAGCTGACAGCAGCAACGAAGGGTCGCAAGGCTTGAATCCCACCGAGTATCTGCTAGCTCTGGAGAGCATGCTTGACAAGGCAAGCAGTTCAGACGTGAGTGCGAGCGCGAGCGCGAGCGCGAGCATGCATGCGTCCCAATCAATCGCTGCCCCCCTGACGTTGCTCCTTCCACTCGCAGGCGGCACCCTCTCTCTACACTTCCGTGCTGTATTTGCTCGCCATCGTCGCTCCCGTCACTGCACCAGCGGTGCTGCGCGCGCGCGCATCTGCCCTTCTCGCTGCGATCCTTCCTCTCCTCTCCAATCCTCACTCTCATTCATCCAGCGCATCGGTCAATGCAGAAAATCAGGCAGCTCAATTGAGATCAGCGCTGACGGTCCTTCAAGCAGTCCTCCTGTCTCACAGCGGCCCCTCAGACCGCGCTGTTCTGGACAGCGACGATGCCGGCTTGCGAGAGGGTTGGGCAGCCACGCTGCACCTCTGCTCCGACGCCCGCCCAAAGGTTCGCAAGCGCGCTCAAGACGTCGTCTCTGCTGTGCTGGACCAGGGAGATGCTCACAATTCTGCGTCTGCGAAAGCGCATCCTTACGCAGCACGGACGGCGGATTGGGCCATCAAAGCTTTGCAAGGCGTGGCAGATGCGGGAAGCGCAAAGGGGAAGGCCAAGGGGGTGAGCAGCGCAGCCACCGCTCCAGAGTACGATCGACGCAAAGGTCAGGCCAAGGGTGCGAGCGCGGCAGCAGCGGCTAGGCAACAGACGGCCTCTGATGGAGGCGCGAGCGCAGGCATATGGGTCTGCGGTTTCCTCAAGCAACTCGCACCGACGCTGCCCGGCAAGCACATTGCACCCCTCTGCAACGTTCTGCTTCGGCTGCCCAGCCTTGCCAACCCTTTTCTCACCAGTGCGGCATTCTCCGTCTTTGAAGCCCTGTTCAAGCCTTCCAAGCCGCAGGTGCATCCTGCATCGCTCTCGCTCCTCTCGGCCCCTTCTGGCGCACGTACCAGCCGGATGGACAAGCAAGGCGACTCTCTCGTCCGCACGCTCGACGCTCTGTGCTCATCCTCCATCAAACCCAGCGCAAACGATGCGCAATTGCTTCCGCCATATATGCGCGCCTTGGAAAACGCTCTGGTTGCCTACTCTCGCGTCGACGGAGGCATGGCAGCGTGGACGCGCGTGCCCACGATCTGGTCGGAGATTGTCGAGGTCAGTCTATCCGCACGGAGCAAAGCCTCGCGCGAACAGCCTGCCATTCGATCAGCAGGAAGGGATGCGCTGTGCGCCATTGCCCGCTACTGCGTGCCCGACGCGGCCATCGAGCAGACGCTGCAAGCTTCCGGCGCGCAAGCCATCGAGACGCCTCTTGGTAGCATGTTGGCGCTCCTCGCCGATGCGCTCGGCAAGCAAGCTCTGCGGTACAATCACGCGCGAGCAGAAGTGCTCAATGTTCTCATCGCCTTGGTTATGCGCTTGAGGTATAGGTCACCAAGCAAGACGTCATCACGCTCACAACCCGCCGCAGCTCAGCTCATGCTTCCCATCGTCAGCGTCGTTGCCGATCTCCGTGCTCAGCCGGAATTCGAGCATCGAGAGGCAGCCGATGGAGTCATTGCAGCGGCAGTCGAAGTATGCGGTCCTCGTCTTGTTCTCGACAAGCTACCTCTGGGTCTGAATGGTGAGAAGGGCGCTACAACTGGGAGGGCCTGGCTGCTGCCGTTGATGCGCAATCGCATCACCAATACGGAGCTCAGCCACTTCACGCAGTCGATGGTGCCTCTTTCGGAGGTCCTCTTCAATAAGAGGGCTGCAGCAGAGGAGCCCGGGCCGGATGGCAAGCCAAAGCGACCCGTCGAGGCCAAAGTCTACGAAGCCTTGACGGAGCAAGTCTGGGCACTTTTTCCTGCGTACTGCGACATGCCCACGGATCTGATCGATGCGGTCGACGAAAAGTTCGTAGCCCTGCTCAGCAACGTCCTCTACTCGCAGCCGACACTCCGGCCATCCGTCTGTCGCGGCTTGCAGCTCCTTGTCGAGCGCAATGAGGCCCTGTCTTCCTCTGGCGCCCCTAGCGACACGCTGGTCACCTCGTTCGGGGTGGATCAAGTCATCGGCAAGGCCAACATTGCCCACCTCGCAAAGCTGGCTCCGCAACTCTTGGCCGTGTTCTTCAACATCTTTAGCCAGAGCCCTTCTTCCCGACGAGGGTTCATCGCGGAAGCTTTGGCCGCTTACCTGCGCGTCATGAAGCCTAAGGACATACGAGACACTTTTGAGCGCGTCGTTGCCATGCTTCAAGAAGCTCTGCCGAATTTGCAGCACTCGCCGGACAAGGAAGCGGGCCCAAACGCCGTGCCACCGGTACCCCATACGATGCTCGACTTGCTCATCGCCCTGATCCCCTTCTTGGATGCTAGCAGCGAAGCCCACAAGCTGTTCGACTTGGCCCTCGGCGACGATCTCCTTCTCGCCCGAGATTCTGGCTTGCAGAAAAAGACGTACCGCATCCTCGCCAGACTCATCGAAGGTCCACGCGGACTGACCGTTCTGCGCCTTGACGGTGGTGCTGGGCGCGTGCGCGAGCTGCTGCTCAAGCTCAACGACACGAGCTCCAGCGTCGTGTCAGGTGCCAAGCGAGATCGCGTGGCTGTGCTGTCCGCCCTCGTCCCGCGCATCCCGTCGCAAGAGCTGCACTTTTTGCCGTCCATCATTCCCGAAGCTGTCCTCTCCACCAAGGAAGCCAATCAAGGAACGCGAACGCTAGCATACGAGCTGCTTGTCGGCATGGGTCACAAGATGCAAGAGGGAGGCACCATCCGTCGCGACCTGGTGGAGACAGCGCTGGAAGGCGGCGATGCTGAAATGGACAGTGCTGAAGTCGCAAACGCTAGCATTGAAGAGTACGTCACCATGGTCGCTGCTGGTCTCGCAGGCAGCACGCCACACATGATCAGCGCCACCATCACTGCGCTCTCGCGACTATTGTACGAATTCCACGAGTCGATGCCTGGCACCGTCCTGACCGACTTGCTCCAGACCTTGGAAGTGTTTGTCCGCTCGGCGAACCGCGAAATCGTCAAGTCGGCATTGGGCTTTGTCAAGGTGGTCATTGTCGTCCTTCCACATGCGATCATGGACGGCCAACTGCCCAACTACGTTTCCAGCCTCTTTTCCCTCAGTCCGCAAAACAGGCAGCACTTCAAAGCCAAGGTGCGGCACATTTTTGAACGTCTGATTCGACGCTTTGGCTACGCGCGGGTGGAGCAACTGACCGACGATGAGAACAAGAAGCTGCTCGTCAACATCAAGAAGAGAAAGGAGCGAGCTCGACGTCGTAAGAATGCGCAGGATGACGAGGCGAATGATGACGATGACGACGACGGTCAGGGACCGGCGTTCATGGGAGCGCGCGCATTGCGTCGGCATGGCGTCGACGCATTCCAAGAGGCCATCTACGGTTCGGAATCTGACCTCAGCGATAGTGGCGACGATGATGCACACGAACCACGCAGACCAGCGGGTGGACGGCGCGCTCGGACAAAAGAAGAGCAGACGTACATTCGCGAAGACGACGACGAGGTCATGGATCTGCTCGACAGGTCCGTCGCTGCTGGTGGTGGCATCTCAACCTCTCGAGGCGGACGACCCATTGCTGGCGGACCTGCTTCCACCGCACGCAGGCCGGGTCAAGATGCTAGCCGCTTCGAGCTGGACGAAGCCACGGGTCGCATGCTCATCGACGATCCAGAGGGTGGCAAAGCGGTTGCAAATGTGGCGAATGTCGACGTCGATGCGGATGGCGCAGGCAGAGCGTACGTGGATCGAGAACGAGGTACTGGCGGTGTGCAGATGAGGGGTGGCGTGGCGCGCATGAACAAGAACAACAAGCGCAACAGGGCCGAAGATGCCGAGATGGAGCTGGAACAGATGGCTGCAGAGATTGGGCTCGGCGATGAGGATGGCGGCTCGAAACGCAAAAGGAAGGAAAAGAAGCAAAAGGAGAGCATAGGAAAGGAATTCAGAGCTAAGAAAGCCGAGGGTGATGTCAAGCGCAACGACGGTCCTAGCCCGTACGCGTATGGTGAGTCTTGCGGCGCGCGCGCGCTTCTGTTCCCTGCGCTGACGAGGCGGCGGCGATTGACACATCCTCGCAGTCCCGCTGTCGGCAATGGGAGGCAAGCACAAACAAAAGGATATCCTCTCCATCACTGGCAAGGGCCGCAAGACGCACAAGGGCAGATCCTGAGCCGCACGCGATTGCCTCTTTGATTCGAGATGCTTCTCTACATCCCCTTCCGTACCCGTTTTGAATTCACGGTTGTATCACGTCAGACGTGTGGTGAAGTTCTGTCTGACCTGAAAGTGGATCCTGATTCGTGATTCATTCTTGATTCACGTTCTCAACCGGCGCCTTGAGTCACGTGACTATGGTCCACTCGCCCCCACGCACATGCGAGATCAAGAAGCGCGAGAGCGTTACAAGCAGCTGACTCCCTCTCGACGTCCACCATTCTCGCGCTTGCAGATCGACCCCTCGCAATCGTGAATCACGGACCAGCCTTGGACGTCACTCCTGATCGCAAGTGCCGCCACGATGAGCGCACCTACCGCATCTCCCTACACCGTATCCTCGCCCACATCCAACGCTGCTGCTCCACGCTCGGCATCCGGTGTGGGCGGCAGCGGCGGCGGCGGCGGGATCACCTCGCCGCTATCTCCACGCGCCAGCATGCCATCCTACGCTCGTCGCTCCTCCACGCTCGTCTCGCTCTCCAGCGCAGGAGGCAGCTCGCGGGATCGAGACTCGCTGAGCTCCGTCTCTCGCGCAGGCACCACGACGACGTTTTCCAGCGCAGCGGGACCTAGCACACCGACTTCCTCTGTGCACCACCCGCATACACCCGGTACTGGAGGCATTGCGGCTCAAAGCGGCGCGGTGCTTGGTGGAGAGACTATATTGGACAGGCCGAGGGACAAAACCAAGTCGTCGCAGGTAGGCAGCGCTGCTGTCCACTTTTTGTTCGCAGAGATTGTATCCTACACGCAGGGAAGGGTCAGAGGCATATCTGAGCTGGAGAGGAGGTGAGCGGGGAGAGACTGTCGCTTCGGATAGCCACGCGGACCGAGCTGATCGACTGCGACGTGTGCGCACGTGCGGATCTCGTAGACTGTCATCACTGGGCTATCAAGTCGGGCAGCGACTGTCGCACCTCATCATTCACAGAGCTGAGCAGCAAGTGCCTCCGTCCTTGGGAGGGAGCAGCACGTACACGCGTTATGGCAATCCAAAGCGGGAAGGTATGCGGGTCTTGCCAGCTCTCATATGGGTTCACTCGACGCTGTGGAAAGCCGTGTTTGGCAAGGCGGCAGACAGTCTGGAAAAGAGCACAGAGAATAGCGACGAGTGTGAGTGGTGCGCGGATGTGGGTGCGGGGGGCGGGTGCGGGAGCAGCGGTCACCACCGAGCGTATGCTGACGAATGCAACCCCGGCGCACCTGTCCGCCCGCAGACATGATCTCCTTCAATGCCCCCTTATTCTCCTCCAAGATTGCGGTGCCCAAGGAGATGAGCCAGCTCTCCGTCGAAGCCTTCACCGCCGGAATTGTAGAGGCTGCACTGGATGGATTTGGTCTGGTGAGCCGCCGTGCCTTGGCCCTGCCGTGCACATGTCCACGCTGATGCGATAGCTTCTCTCCAGCCTGCAAGAGTCACTGCGCATAGCGTGCCCACGACGGATCATCCGCAGCGCACAACGATCCTCGTCAAGGTGAGGCGCCTCGTAGAGTCGCATTCACGCTGCGCAGGAGCGTCTGACTCTTTCGCATGTCATTACGCACCGCAGCTCGCAAAGGAAGTCATGGAGCGCGATGCTGCTCTTGGACCTGCTTAGCGTCAGCGTCTACACTACAGCGACTGCAGATCGCCCAATGAGCATGGTTTTTCATACATTCGCGATGCGTGGACATGGTATCTTCCTCGCGCTCATCGCTCCGACCGTATCGGCACAACTGCGCCATTCGTGTCCGAGTCGCTCGTCTTTGCATTGTCAAGACCGCCCACGCCCTCCTCGCAGCGGCTACCTGTAAGGCCAAGCGCCACGGTCTCGCCTGGAATGCCAAGTCTTTCGGTCTCCGCCTGCGAGCTCAAGGCACGCTCGCTCCGTCGATCCATGTCGTCGCCTGCGATCCCAGCCGCCTCTACAATGCTGGGAATTTTCGGTGCGCTGATCGCCTCGCGAGGCGAAGGTGGATAGGCGGGCCTACGAGGACGGGATTGGTCGTGGATGCGCACCCTTGGGGACCTCGGTATCGCAGGCGAGGGCGCTCTCGGACTGGCCAAGTTGCGGCGCTCAGGAAGCTCCATGACGGCCTCGTCGACGTGCGCATTGCGCGGTGAGGTGGGCGAGCGCAGCCCAAAGCTAGACATTCGCTTGGCGCGAGGATCAATGGCGATCCACGAGACGGGCCTGGTAGTGGCAAACACCATTTGCCTGTGCACTCGCCCTCCCATCGAAGCGGTGACGGCCAGATTGGGAATGGCGAGCATCAGCTTGGCAACGGGATGAGCGTGTGGCACGACGAGGGAGCAAAAGCAAAGGATGTTCATGAAAACCACCACGCTGTTGGAACATCGTCGTGAGCGAAGCTGACGAGTGCGCCCGAGATGCACATCCACTAACCCATAATACAGCGTGCCTTGCTTGAACAGTTCCGCCACAATCGGAGTGAGTCCCTCTCGACGATGCTTTTGAAACGCTTGCCTTCCCCATTGACCGTTGGGAATGTCGTAAAAGAGGATGCGCGCGCTGACCGCAAGCCAAACCACCGTGTCGTGCAGGAAGAGTGCAATGACGGGCGCTTTGGCAAAGGTGTCGGCGTGACGAAGCATGCACCTCTTCGTGTCGGCAATCTCGATGGCAGACAGCGCAAAGGGAGCAGCGATTCCGGTCGCCAGTATGGCCAACCAGAACGTGCCGAGAAGCATTGCCAGCTTGCGATTCCATCGGTACAGCGCCATGGCGCGCAGATAGAGCAAGAGGGCGGTGGATGGACCGGCGATGGCGTGGCACGCGCTGAATGCGGCAATGGCGTGCTGGCAGAAGTGGTGCGGCAGACGCGCAGACGCAAAGACGACGAAAGCGATGGAATGTGCGCAGGCTGCCCATCTCGATGCCATGTATGCGACGGTTCCCAGGGTGACCTGCTTGCGGAACAGCATCTGGTAATCGAGATGCAGCGTCGTCAGGATCTCCCAGACCTGAGCGCCGAGTACGGCAGAGTATAGCAATTGAGAGGATTGCCTGAGCACGGCTACCGAGTCTGGCAAGTAAGCCTCGGGCCATGCCGTGTTGATGATGTTGTGTCCCGTGGGCGAGACGAGGGGCATTGCAATGTTGGTGATAAGCAGCTGCGGGTGGTGGTCAAGCGGCGAGTTGCGAGCGAGCAGGAGCGCATCGCCACTCCTACCTTATGCTCGCGCGAACTTCTCACCTTGTCTGCTGCCGGACCCCGAACACCGGCCCCCGGGGTGGCGCCAATTTCCAAATCGTTGCACAACAATGAGGCGCCTTCATACCAGCCACACGCGCTGACTGACTGACTGACTGACTGACTGCTCAAGGATGCCCTTGTCTACGGAAATGCGAGCGTGCAGAAGGAATCGCATTGTGACCTTGACACACACGCGCGACTCGCGACTCACGACTCCTTGACACGTCTGCCAGTCAGCACGACGCCCAGGTCCACTGATGATTTCTGCTCATCCACGCCGCGCTGTAAGCCTCACATATCGCACATCTCCGTGATCATGGGCTGCCATGCAAATAACGCCGGACCACGTCCTGTAGAGGTTCGAATGCCGCTAGTCACGTTTGCGACTTGCGACGCACATGTAGGGCTCACATTTCCCCGTGAGCAAGCGCACGAATGGGGCGGCATTTGATTCTCGATTCGGTCAAGCGCCTTACCGTCTCGATCGTGCTGCTCCTTGATGATATGGTCGCAGGTGTCCGCCATGGGGGGGGTGGAGATCGAGAGCCCGCGTGTCCACTTTCCGTGTCGAGAAATTGCCGAATAGAGCTTCGCAGCTGGACATGATATGCTTTGGACCTCCTTCTGATTTGCTATGGGCATTTTGCCGTTGTAAATGGTACACTCACGCTTGACTGACTGTTCCTCGAACACCATCTCGACGTGCCAAAGAGGCGAGGTGCTCGGCGATCGCTCGAGACTACCAGGCAAGCAGCACCTGTCTCGCTGTCAGCATCAGCGGCCACTGATCCCCGAGAACAGCTTCCACAAAGCGGTGATGCGCTGTGCTCAGCATGAGCATCGAAGGAACATGGCCGTTAGTCACGAGTCACGAGTCGCGGGTCACAAGCTTCTTATTCTTGATTGGGACAGCTGTGAGAAAGGGACGTTGGACGGTCAAGTTATGAGTTGTGCGAGGCTAGAAGATCACGTGCGTGCATGGCTGCAGGGTTGCACGGCACGCACGCACGCTTGACGCCGCATGCTGCTTGCTCATCAGCAGATTTACGCGCATCGGTTGCAACGCGTCGAACGCGTAAATTGACGCGTTTGCGCGTGTGGTGCCTCGCGAGTGCGACTTTTGACCTGCTGCACGCGGCGCGGTGTTTATGATGGTCGTGGTCGTGATTTGCCTGCACTGACGACGCTGACTTGCAGGCAGAGGCGTCGGCGACGGCCACAGAACATCCCGTCCACAAGCAGCTCCACCATCTCTCAGCACCGTCCGTCACCCACTCGCTACCAGGCTCTTTTCGCAGCCAGTCCAGCTGGACTGACCCTCCCCCTTCGCCCTCGAACCCCGCACCCTCGACAACTCGGCAAACGCGTCACCCATGTCGGGCTTCGACAGCGGCAGGCTGTTCAGCGCTCAGGTGCTCGCGGGCTCCGAAGCGTCTCGAGCACCCGACGCACCAGCGCAGACCGAACAGTCGCTGTACGAATTCGTGCAACGATTCCGCACGGGCAACAACGACTACATCTACAGGGACAGGCTGAGAGCGAATCTGCTGGCAAAGCAAAACGTCCTCGAAGTCACGTTGGAGCATGTCCAGCTATGGAACGCTACGCTGGCTCAGGCCATGCGACAGACGCCAAACGAGATCCTGCCATTGGTGAGTGAGAGTGAGAGTGAGAGAGGGGGAAAAGATGGCATGTATGCTACGCATCGATGCGTGCAAGGTGGACGAATGCTCACGCCAGCGCGCTCCTTCATTCCCTCCGGCACGCCCGCACCCCGCACGCCCAACGCCCAACGCAGTTCGAGTCGGCGGTGAAGCGAGCAGCGCGGGGCATCCTGCACCCCATCTCTACCGGCACAGATCGAGGCAGACCGGAAGCGCCGGATTGTCAAGTCACCCTCCGCTCCTCTGCCAATCTGCTCGGCATGCGCGATCTCCATGCAGACAGCATCACCCGCTTGGTGAGGATCCCAGGCATCGTGATCGGCGCATCCACCCTCTCCTCTCGTGCCACGCACCTGCAAATTATGTGCAAAGAGTGTCGCACACTCAAGACCCTGCCCATCTCTGCCGGATTTGGCGGCTTCTCTTTGCCGCGCAACTGCAGCGGACCAGAGGGTATGGAGGGACAACAGACCAAGCCAAACTGCGGCATCGACCCTTTTGTCATCCTCCACGACAAGTGCAGATTCGTCGATGCGCAGACCATCAAGCTGCAAGAGGCGCCCGATATGGTTCCCGTGGGTGAGCTGCCTCGACACATGCTCCTGTCTGCTGACAGGGCACTGTGCGGCAGGGTGGTGCCGGGAAGCCGCATCATCGCCACGGGTGTGTACAGCACCTTTGCCCCAAGCAGCTCTCGAGGAGGCAAAATGGGTGGAGCGGTGGCGCTTCGACAGCCGTACCTGCGCGTCGTAGGTCTCGAGATTGACGCAGAGGGTGCAGCAGGCAGAGGAGCTGCCCGACTTTTCACTGTAGCGGAAGAGGACGAGTTCAGCCGGTTCGCGAGGACTCCACAGCTTTACGAAAAGTTTGCCAGGAGCATTGCCCCCAGCATCTTTGGCAATGAGGACATCAAAAAGGCCATCACTTGCCTCTTGTTTGGAGGCAGCAAAAAAGTGCTGCCTGATGGAATGCGCCTCCGAGGCGACATCAACGTCCTCCTTCTGGGCGATCCTGGTACGGCCAAATCTCAGCTGCTCAAGTTCGTTGAAAAGGTGAGCCGATGAAGCAGTCGTGCTGCAGCGGCGCGTGCGCGCGCAGTCGTTTGCTGATGCTGTCGCCTCCCTTGCTCTCTCCCTAAGGCGGCCCCAATCGCAGTGTACACTTCCGGCAAGGGTAGCAGCGCAGCAGGTCTTACCGCATCGGTGCAGAGGGACACGCAGTCTGTAAGTTTGAGCCCTTGTCAACGCGACTGTCTTTGCTACGAGCGCTCACATCGGACATTGACGTTCCTCTCCACAGCGAGAATTCTACCTGGAAGGCGGTGCCATGGTGCTGGCCGACGGTGGCGTGGTCTGCATCGACGAGTTTGACAAGATGCGCGATGAAGATCGCGTGGCCATCCACGAGGCCATGGTGAGTTGCTCGCCTTGGGCCGCGTGCCGTCCCGGCGTTCGATTTGATGCGAGCGATCCTTCCTTCCCCGCCACCGCAGGAGCAACAAACGATCTCGATTGCAAAGGCGGGCATCACCACGATTCTCAACTCGCGCACCTCCGTCTTGGCTGCGGCGAATCCCGTGTTCGGAAGGTACGACGATATGAAGTCGCCTGGGGAGAACATCGATTTTCAGACGACGATTCTGAGTCGATTCGACATGATCTTCATCGTCAAGGATGAGCACGATGAGGGAAGAGATCGCACCATCGCCAAGCACGTCATGAACATTCACATGAACAGACCTGGAGCGAATCCCGCTTCGGAGGTGGTGGGAGAGATCGACATGGACAAGATGAAGCGTTATGTGGCCTACTGCAAAGCGCGTTGCGCGCCGCGCTTGTCGGAAGAAGCGAGCGAGAAGCTGAGCAGTCATTTTGTGGCGCTGAGAAAGCAGATTGCCCAGGTTGAGCGCGACAACGACGAGCGAAGCAGCATCCCCATCACGGTGCGACAGCTGGAAGCCATCATTCGCATGAGCGAGAGCCTGGCCAAAGTGACGCTCAGCCCTACGGTGCAGGAAGAGCACGTAGAGGAGGCCATTCGACTGTTCAAATTCTCCACCATGGACGCCGTGCAAGCTGGTTCGGTGGACGGCATGACGCGCGGCGAGCTGCAGGAAGAGGTGCAAAAGTTGGAGAGGGAGATTAGGAGGAGATTGCCCATTGGCTGGAGCGTATCCGCTTCCAGACTGCGAAACGAATTCGTAGAGGCGCAAGGCTTTACGCAGCACGCTCTTGACAGGACGCTGTACGTGCTGGAAAAGAGAGACGTTTTGCGTTTCTCTAACCAGAGAAAAGTCGTCACTAGAACCGGCGTCTAGTCACAGTCGAACGTGCCGCTCCACCGTCCGCTTCATCGAATTGCCACCGCTGTCTCTGCCTGTACAAACGTCGCTCGCTTCACGCTTTCCCCCCACCTCCCCCATTTTGGGGCGCTCAGTAGCGTTTCATATTTCACGATTCATCGAGCAATGAGACACGACTGTACGTGGTGCGTGGAGATCTGTGTTTGAGGAGTCGAAGTGCGCACAGCCGAACGTCTCGGTCGAGGTGAAGGGTTTCGAGTGCGCTCAGTTGGTCTGTGTGGATAGTCACGACCAAAAGTCCATTGTCGCCGCATTTGGTAGTCTTGTGAATGCACAGACTCCCAAAGGTGGACTGATGTCCGTTTGATAGGCTTCCACAATTTGCGATTTTGTACTTCGCGACGACAAGGCGAGCGAGATGAGCCTGCGCAGGTAATGATCGAGCAGCTTGCGCTCGCTCCATTAGGAGGCGATCTCGCTTACCGTTCGTGTGCAGCTTGGACGGCCGGCATCTTTCAAAGAGCGCTGCGCTTGACGCTCAGATCATCATCACGTGATCTAGTCGCGCGGTGCGCGCACACGCCCGGCCTGCATCGCGCGCGTACGTCACCAGCATATGGAGCACGTTACGCCACGATGGGAGCACGCATCTGTGAGGCCTGGTATGCCACCATCATCTACGCGCTTTCTGCCACAACAATCCCCAGCACCAACTGTAAGAGTCCTCTATCAGATAGTCCAGCTCACATTAGGACGGCACACAAGGACTTGGTCAGAGGTATTGCCAGGAATCAAACCGCGATGGGTCAAGTTCCATCCCAAGGCGCTGGTCGACCAGGCCGCGATGGCAAGGACAAGGTGAGTGCAGGGTGGGCAGGGGTGTATGCGTGCGCGTCAAGTGCCCATGAGGCATGCATGCCGCGCCATCGATGACCCTGATCCGCTGACCCCCTCCCACTTGCAATACGATGGCCTCGCGCTCGATAGAGAAAGGATCAGCCCAAGAAGTGGGAGCCACCTCTTCCCACTCGAGTAGGCAAGAAGAAGAGACGCGGACCGGATGCCGCCACAAAGCTGCCCCCCGTGCACCCCACCACGCGATGCAGGCTAAAGCTGCTGAAGATGGAGCGGATCAAGGACCACTTGCTGTTGGAGGAGGAGTTTGTTCAGAATCAAGAGAGGTTGAAACCTCAGGAGGAAAAGGCGCAAGAGGAGAGGACTAGAGTGGATGATCTCAGAGGAAGTCCAATGGCGATCGGAACGCTAGAGGAGATCATCGACGATGAGCACGCCATCGTCAGCAGTGCCACTGGGCCAGAGTACTACGTGTCCATCATGAGCTTTGTGGACAAGGATCTGCTCGAACCTGGTTGCTCCGTGTTGCTGCATCACAAGGCGATGGCCATCGTGGGTGTGCTTGCGGACGACGCGGATCCCATGGTCAACACCATGAAAGTGGACAAGGCGCCCACCGAGAGCTACGCGGATGTTGGGGGTCTCGAGCAGCAGATCCAAGAGATCAAAGAAGCCGTGGAACTGCCCCTCACCCATCCTGAGCTCTACGAGGAGATGGGCGTCAAGCCTCCGAAGGGTGTGATTCTTTACGGCGTGCCAGGCACAGGAAAGACGCTCTTGGCAAAAGCTGTGGCCAATCAGACCTCGGCAACCTTTTTGCGCATCGTAGGATCGGAGCTGATTCAAAAGTACCTCGGAGACGGTCCCAAGCTGGTCAGGGAGCTGTTTAGAGTGGCAGACGAACAAGCTCCTTCGATCGTCTTTATCGATGAGATCGATGCTGTTGGAACAAAGAGATACGACAGCAGTAGCGGAGGAGAGCGAGAGATTCAGAGAACCTTGCTGGAGCTCTTGAACCAGCTGGATGGTTTCGACACAAGACACGATGTCAAGGTCATCATGGCTACAAACAGGATCGAGTCCCTGGATCCCGCGTTGATCAGACCAGGGTGAGTCAAGAGTGAAGCGACTCGAGTCAGGCGCTTTCTCGCTGACAAATATGCCCCCCGTGACCCCCTCTTCCAACAGCCGAATCGATAGAAAGATCGAATTTCCCATGCCCGATCAGAAGACCAAGATGTGAGTCTGCTCGAGCAGCTGCATGCACCCGCACCCTTGCTCACCGCCTACGTGCACCTCTTCGCTTGGCATCTTCACACAGGCGCATCATTCAGCTGCACACTAGTCGCATGAACCTCGACTCTGACGTCGACTTGGAGGCACTTGTCAGCGTCAAGGATGAATTGAGCGGTGAGTGTCGGGGCGCGAGTCCTTAAAGTCATGCCGTTGCAGTGCTTACCTTGCGCCCCCTCTGCTACCTCTCATCGTATCAGGTGCCGACATCAAATCGCTCGCGACGGAGGCCGGACTGCTTGCCCTTCGCGAGAGACGTATGCGCGTGACGAAGAAGGTGCGTTGTGGATGATGCAGATGAGAGGTGCGAATGCGGCTCATACATGGGCTCACTTTTGCAATCTGCGCTGCGCGAACAGGACTTTGACACGGCCAGAGAAAGAGTGCTGGACCGAAAGAAGGAGAACATGCCAGAGGGTGAGCGACGCGATGCGACAGATGCGCGCGTAGTACCAAAGCTGACTCTATGCTATTCCGCTTTCGGCACAGGTCTTTACCTCTGATTTTGGTCGAGCACAGTCGAGCTGGACAACTGTTGCACCTACGTAATTCGATGTGTTTACGTGTGCTTTGAGTTGTGCCGGGCAGGCGTGTTGAGATGAAGCGATTCGTGTTGTCAACGAGTGGCGAACACAGCGAGATCATCTCAAGACCTGCAGAGATGAGAATTGGGCAAATGCCTCAAGCCCACTGATGCAGCTGTTGGTGAATAGATGATCGCAATCGAGTGAGTAATCTGAAGGTACACGTGTGCCTCGATCGATCCTCATCCTTGCTCGACGATTTGATCAGGGTGGAGGCCGCCCCCCGCCTTGCTGCTCTCCCGCACGAGAAGAGGCGGGCGTGTGTATGTATGTGCATATGCACGCACGCGCGCGCGCGCCCGCGTCCTTGGTCAGCAGCAGCTGGCGTGTGACGTCGCTGTCGCCGCGACGTGCGATGTCATCGAGATGACCGCCATCTCGACTCGGCTCGGCTTTTAAATTGGCGTGGTGGTTCGATGGTGATGCGCATACATTTCCCACACTCGTGTCGTTTACAAGATCATCGCTCGCCTATTCTCTTCATCCGAACGCTGCAACACCGCACGTTTTTCTTGGGCTCCTTCCCACAGCTCTTGCAGCTTCGTCGCCAACCATTTGCTGCTCTGCACGCACTCGCACTCGCACTCGCACATCGCCCACTCGAGCCTTGCTCACCGCATCGCCGCTGTACATTCCCCTGCCATCTTCATCCCAACCTCACCCACAACAGACGACACCGCAACCTCGCGACGTGCATCGCCGCGAGCCTAGGTTGACGAGATGGGGATCCCTAAATTCTTTCGATTCATGTCGGAGCGGTACCCGCTGATCAGTCAGCTGGTGGAGGAGAACAAGATTCCAGAGTTTGACAATCTCTACCTCGACATGAATGGCATCATCCACGCTTGCTCTCATCCAAACGACGGCGACGCTCACTTTCGAATAACGGAAGCGGATATATTCTTGGGCGTGTTCTCCTACATTGAGCATATATTTGCAAAGATTAAACCTCAAAAGCTCTTTTTCCTCGCCATCGATGGCGTAGCACCCAGAGCAAAGATGAATCAGCAGAGGAGCAGGAGGTTCAGAACGGCAAAGGAGACAAAGGAGATTCGAGATCGAGCGATTGCCAAGGGCGAAGAGTTGCCGGAGCAGGAGGCGTTCGATAGCAACTGCATCACACCAGGCACGCCATTCATGGCCAGGCTATCCGAACAGCTCAAATACTTTTTGGCCAAAAAGGTGACAGAGGACGCTTCGTGGAGGGGCGTGCAGATCGTCCTGTCTGGTCACGAGACACCGGGCGAGGGGGAGCACAAGGTGATGGAGTACATTCGCTTGGCTAAAGCGCAGCCGGACTACAACCCAAACGTTAGGCACTGCCTGTACGGATTGGATGCGGACCTCATCATGCTCGGTCTGCTCAGCCACGACCCGCACTTTGCGCTGCTCAGAGAAGAGGTCAACTTTGGGCCACAGAGAAAGAAGCGGACTGGGTGAGTGAGATGAGGGCAGGCGCGCATACAAGCAGCCGAGCTGCGTGCTTGCCTGCGTGCTTGCCTGCTGACACACCCGCACGCATCTACGATATGACTCTCCATTCGCACAGACTCGAATCTCAAAACTTTTACTTGCTTCATCTGTCTCTCTTTCGAGAATACTTGGATCTGGAGTTCCAGGATTTGCGCTCTTCGCTTCCGTTTCCTTATTCCCTCGAGCGCATCATCGACGATTTCATCCTGCTCAACATATTCGTTGGCAACGACTTTTTGCCCCACTTGCCCGGATTGCACATCAACGAGGGTGCGCTGCCGATGCTGTTCCGCATCTACAAGAGCGTCTTGCCTGCTGCTGGTGGATACCTGAATGAGGATGGCGTGCTCCAAGTAGGCAGGTTGCAGCTCGTCCTCGCCCAACTATCAAAGCTCGAGGTGGAGCAATTCAAGGCGGAATTCGCAGATAGCAGCTGGTACGAAGGCAAGCAAGGCCCTTCCGAAAAGGAACGCAAAAAGAGAGCGCAGGCGAGCGGCAAGGGCAAGCTGGTGCTCACGCCATCTCAAAAGGCTTTGTACGACCAGGTCAAACGATTCGTCCTAGCTCAGCGCGCCGATCCCGTCGGCGCACCTGCAGACCTCTTCCTGACCAACACGATGCCCGTTGCCGATCAGACTTTCCTCAAGGGTCTTTGCAAGAATCTAGGCTTCAGCTTGAGCTTCGACGAGTACGATCCGGATGCCGATGCTCCTGCTACGGCCGTCTCGAGCGATCTGGATGAGCAGACTGCTTTGGTGCTCGCGCAGGACAAGATTGCAGCAGCCCGATTCGCGAGCGCCAGCGATCAGGTACTCTCAAAGTACGACAAGGCTCAGGTCATCAAGGAGGAGACGTATGGTCACAAGGCAGAGGAAGAGGAGGAGGAGGATGAGGATGAGGATGCCGCAGAGGCGAGAATGATCGAGGAAAAGATGCTGCAGTGGAAGAAGGACTACTACCACGACAAGTTGCACATCGACTTCAACGACAAGGATGCAATGAGGCTGCTGGCGTACAAGTATGTGGAAGGCTTGCAGTGGGTCCTGCACTACTACTACGATGGTGTGGCTTCTTGGGGATGGTTCTACCCGTACCATTACGCGCCCAAGATATCAGACCTGCTGCCAGTCTTTGATATGAAGTTTGAATTTCAGCTGGGCAAGCCTTTTCGACCGTTCGACCAGCTCATGGGCGTCTTGCCAGCTCTCAGTAGGCAACACATTCCGCCTGCTTTCCGGGACCTCATGACCGATCCCACATCTTCCATCATCGACTTCTACCCGCCCGATTTCGAGGCGGACATGAACGGTAAGAAACAAGATTGGGAAGCGGTCGTCAAGATCCCTTTCATCGACGAGAAGCGACTGCTCGCTGCGTTGGACAAGCGAGAGGGTCTGCTGACGGCGGATGAAAAGCAGCGGAATTCCTTTGGAGAGTCGACGCGTTTGACATTCGACGAGCAAAATGAGCGCTTCTTTGCTAGCTCTCTGCCCGGCGTTTTCCCTGACCTGCCCCATTCCCGCGCCAAGGTGGAGACATTTCACCTGCCTACTCTGGATGGATTGCATCTTGTCAGAGGCCTCTGCGATGGCGTAGAGCTAGGATCCCGAGCTTTGGCCGGCTTCCCGAGCCTCAAGACTTTGCCGCATTTTGGCAGGACGGAGAAGCATGGCGTCAATGTGTTCCAGAGCGACAGCAGGCTGGACAGCGTCGTTTTGCACGTAGAGAATAGGTTCAACAATGCCAAGTCGGAAGACCTTGCCAGCGCGATGCTGGGCAGACGGACATTTACTCATTGGCCATTCCTGTACGAGGGCATGGTCACTGCGCTCTCTGACAGCTTGTTCAGATACGAGCTGGTCGATGGGCAGATCACCAAGACGCCCCACGCGCCCGATGCCGTCTCGACGTGGAGACGCAAGGTGGATAGACTTGCCCAGCACTATAGCAAGCGATACGGTGTGCTCGTCGGAAGGGCGGAGCAGCTGTTGCACGTCCGCCCCCTCACCGGCCTCAAGAGGATGGAAGACGGCTCGTTTGTAAAGGAGTACGAGGCGGATGCGGAAAGGCAAGTGGACCAATTGGTGCAAATGTCGATTGCGGATGTTGTGCAAGAGGACAGCCGGACATTGGAGAGGAGCGCCCAGGAAGTGTCTATCGAGTACCCGCTGCACACTCGATTGTTCTTCCTCGGCGAAAAGCCGTTTGGCGCACCTGCTGCCGTGGTGCAATCTCAAGGCGATCAGCTCACCATTGAGCTGGCGTACTACACCAGTCAAGCCAAGGAGAATGTGTACATCCACAACCTGGTGGCGTCCAGAATCACCGAGCGGTACTATCCCTCGTTCATGATCGCCAAAAAGGTCGGCATGTCTTCGCTGGCTCTGTCCAAGATCACTGCGAGCATGCTGCTGGACCACAATGGCTCGCGAACGAATGTGGGACTGAACCTCAAATTCGAAGCCAAGAGCTGCAAGGTGTTGGGCTACAGCAGAAAGGGACCTCAAGGTTGGGAATTCTCGGACAAGGCCATCGAGCTCATCAATGCCTTCAAGGCGGCTTTCCCAGAGATATCGGACACGATCGCTGCAAAAGCCGGCTCGGATTTGAGAGATGCCGAAGATTTCTTTGGCGACGATGCGGAAGAGAGAATGAAGGAGCTCAAGAAGTGGATCAAGGAGAAAGGCGTCAGGGATCTCGAAGCTGTTCCGCTCTTCGCCGAGCAGCTGGACAAGCCGACGGTGGGCGCCATCGAAGCGTTTACGACGTCGCTAAACGAGAGAATGGCCAACGCTGGCCCTGGTGCGGGTATAAAGAGAGCCCATGTCAAGGGAATACCTCGCAACGCTCTTCTCAAACCTTCCCACGCACCATATCGTCTTCAGGGACAGCGCTTTGAGCTTGGTGATCGAGTCATCTATGTCCTCGACACGGGCACAGTGCCCTTGAGCGCGCGAGGCGTTGTGGTGGGCCTCAACAGCACCAACATCGACGTACTGTTCGATGTGCCCTTCCTTTCTGGCACGAGGTTAGGGGATAGATGCTCGCCGCATCGAGGAGCTACAGTCACTTTTGACTCTGTACTCAACCTCACCCAACCCCAATTTGCCGTACCATCTGGACCCGCGGGTCAAAATCCTTCCGCACCCACCGGTCCCTCCAAAGCGAGGAGCTCCGCTGGTGATTATCGTCCCCCCAACATGATGCGGTCTGCTAGGCCTATGCACTCAAATGGCCACCATGCAGGTCACCAGCAGCAGCAGGTCAATCCGACGGTGATTCTGTCTCGCAATGCCAGGCCTACTAGACCACCCAGCGCCAGCGTCACTGCCGAGTACGCCTTCTCTGGCGTAGCTTCGGGCAGCTCGAAACCTTCGAGCGCGACCACAGACGGCTTGAATCCTCATCTTGCGGCTTTGTCCATGCGTGGAGGATCGACGGGGGGTAGGGGACGAGGACGAGGAGCTGGGCACGCACCTCACGTCGGACCTGCTCATTCGCCGCACTTGCCGTTGGCGCCTGCGCACGGGCAGGCCGGATTCGCGCAAAGAGTTAGGGGCTCAAGAGGAAGGGGAACGGCTCAGAGAGGTGGCGGAGGAAATGTGGGCGTGAATGCTGCTGTGCAGCAGAGCTGAGCTGAGCTGCTTTGCGTTGCGTTGCTTTGCGTTGCGCTGCGGTCGCAACTCTCTCGAGGAGAAGGATGAGGTGCCAAGCGGCAAGAGCTCGAGCAGCGTAATTTAAATGCGATGCGTTGTCTTGCTTGGCCATGAACATTTGCCAGCGTGAGGCAAGGGTGAGTCGGGTCAAGTTTGAAAAGCGCGCCTACGATCCAGAATCAGATGCACGCGCGCAAGGATGAGCGTCTGCGCTGAACAGGCGTCAATGCTCGTCCATTCGCTTGCGCGCAGCCTGACAGCTTCGTAAGTCGTTGCGCGCTGCTCTTTACATGATATGTCTCGTCGCGCATCGAGTCCTGCGAGGCCCAACCACGATGGCTTTTCCGCCTGCGCTAGCATTCCCCCCCACACCTGCATCCGTCGACACTCTCACAAACGAGTTGCATCTCCACCCCGTTCACGCATCCTGATATCTTTTTTTCCGTCACGAAGGCGACACGCGTTGACCTCTGTTCCGCTCTGATGGACGAAATGATACATGTGATTGCGACTGTTGATCGTGTAGGTGCATAGAGCTTGGAGGAATGCGCACCCTCGGTGTCTAGTGCGCAAAGATTTTAGACGCCCCAACGCCTTCCAAGGCGGAGTCGCACGACAGGGGCTGAAGTCGGTGGAGATCCTCGTGATGACAAAAGCCCATCGATGAGTGGAAGGGCAAGGAGCGAGAAGCGAACGTGGCGAAGGATGGTTCGGACTCTGCGCTTATGCAGTCACAGAGCTCAACAAGTCGGAGTCACCGGCGTCGAGGACGGTCATGACGCTGGTCGGGAAGGAATGTACGGGAGGTTCAGCTGAAAACGTCGACGAAGGTTGAGTCGACGCTCATGTCGTACGCGTCATCACCGAGTGGCGCAGCAACGACAACATCCGACCGACCCCGCGAAGTGCCCTATTCCACTCCGCATAGCCTCTTATTTCCCTTGAAACCGCCTTTTCTTGTGCCAGGCAATGCCTACTTACCCGACACGGAACAGCTTACCAGCCGCAGTTCCGAGGGCAACGTTGGATCCCTGGTAGTGGTGCACGCTAGTCTTTGAAAGCATGGCGTAGTACTCCAATTCTGACTTGCGCAGCGGAGGAGTGTTGGCAGAGATGAGGACCAACTTTGCTTTGCCGCTCCTCATCGATTTGAGGGCGCTCTTCAAGCCAAGAGACACCTTGCCAGACTTGATGACGAGCTGTGTTTGTGTGTTTGTGTGCAGTGCAACTCGTCAGCCTCCGAGCTTGGTATGCGCTCTTCGCGGGCCACGTGTATATGCTGAGGGCTATCTGCTCTCTCTCTCTCTCTCTCTCTCTTTTCCTCTCTCTCGTTATTCCATGCGTAAGTATCATTCCCTCCTTCTTCTCCGCCTCCTCTGCTGCACGTCGACATCGGCGTTAGGTCACCCTCCCCCTCTGACCCTTGGCCCACCTCTCATCAAGAGATACGTACCTGCAGCTTGGAGTTGATGTTGTCCTGAGAGGACTTCTTTGCCTTTGTGGTGGGAGCCATTTTGACGCTTTAGGAGAAAGGAGCGCAGCGGTGGAAGAGCGAGCAAGGATTGTGCGAGAAGCAGGCAGGCGGGCAGAATCGAGTGCAAGGGAGTGCGAAGATGGAGACGCGATTCGTCAGCAAGGCCCCCCCGATGAATGCAGTGCACCGGAGCATCAAATGCTGTGACTCACAAAGCTTCTTCTTGAGGGTAGAGCAGCGCAAAATGTGTGGTATCGTGGTGAGAGGAGTGAGTTGGCACGACGATGCTTTGTGGGACGTGGGTGCGCACCGACGCTGATGCCTTGCTCGATTTGCAGGGCGACTTGAATCAGCTTTGCGAATCACGTGAAGCAGAGGTCGCAGCCCAGCGTACGCCGGTCCCAAGGCGGCAGCCGCAGCATTGCGCGGCGCACCTCGACCTGCATGCTGCTGTGCGCGGTCAGCGATTTGCCTGCTGGCCACCAAAGACGCGGCTGCGTGCGCCGCCACGTGGCGTGAACTGCATCGAACGCTTGCCCGCGTGCAGCAAACAGGCTTGGAGGCCGTGGCTGCCTGACCCAGCTGGCGCTTTGCACTCGTCACGATCTGGTGTGGTCTTCTCGGTACGCGGCGCTCGCTCCTGCTCAACGCCGTCACCATACCGACACACACACACATCCTCAAGGTGAGCATCATCGGTTTTCCAAGCAGCATTCAGTACACCGCAGCGAGTCGGTGGTTGCTATGTGGGGAGAGTTGGACCTCGCAGGCGGGCAATTCAGCTGGATGTGGGACGTGCAGGCCAGAGGGCCCAATCAGTGTACCGCAAAGCGTTCATGGAAGATGTTGAAACGTCGTTGAGCCAGCGATTCGAGGCTGTAATGGAGCATCACTCGGAAGCGTCAATCATCCCTTGCTTGCAGCATGCACACGGAATGCTGACCAAAGGCCCTCACCTCGCAATTGTTCGTTACGCAGATATAAGACAAGATGACGAAGGGTACCACCTCGTTTGGTAAGCGCCAGTGCGTATCAAGTCCGACTTGAGGATGAATCATCGTGGTGCAGAATGGATGCGAAGGGGTTGCGAGGGAGACGGTGGTGCAGAAAAGTGGGAACGTCGAGCAAGATCGATCTAAGCGCGCTCAGCGGTGGCGTATGGGAGCGGGGCGATGCTGGTCACGAGAGGTGGCAGCACACGAATGAGCAATACAGGAAACTGGCGCAAGGCGGCACTGTTGGAGGACAAGAGCGCTGCTGCAACGCAAATTGGTGTACTGTGTCTCGGAGAGGGTAGCGGGAGGGTCGACTACGTCGCAAGCGCAGGATGGCGGGCGGTTGGCCCTGCTCATGATTTTGTGCGTCGGAGACGTCAACTGACGCTGGCATTCTACGCCCTTGCTTCTCATCAGCACCAAGACGCACACTCTGTGCCGTCGTTGCAATCGCCGCGCATTCCACAAGCAGCACAAGAGTGAGTGAGAGTGACTGAGACGCAGGCGCCCGAACCATAGTTGCACGGACGCTGAACCAAGTGCACTTTGTTTGCCTACAGCCTGCGCATCATGCGGCTACCCTGCTGCCAAGATTCGTTCTTACGAGTGGGGACAGAAGGCTAAGCGCAGAAAGAGTGCGTACTCTTGGTGTTCGGATGATGCGTCCTGTGTTGCTGACATCCTTCACGTACGCCCGTCTTTGTCTCGCTTCCCCCAGCCACCGGAACTGGCCGCATGCGCTACCTGTCCACCGTTCCTCGTCGCGCAAAGAACGGATTCCAGACTGGTGTGGCCAAGAGGCAAAAGAAGCCCTCTGCTGCTGCCGCCTCCGCTTGAGGTCGCGTCACCAAAAGCAACGAAAGATCGGTCGGTTCGAACGTATACGCTACATGCCATTCACCAACCCCCCATGCATCTGCGACGTGACTAGATCACACGAATGTGTGATTCTGCAATACAAAACACCCCAAATCTCCCTCACTTTCGGCAAGTGGTGCGAGATTCACGTCGTTCGAGTATTGTGCTCGAGCAAGGAATCTTTGAACTACAGCTCTGTACTCTTCACCATCTCTGTTGTCTTTGTGGCAAATCGATCATGCGCTCAGCTACATGCCGGCTAGACGGTAGCGCGCGATGCCGATGCCACGCTGACTTGCTAGCCAGATTCGTGCTGACCGTCTACCACATTCTGGACGCCTGCAAGGCCTCGCACCATCGAGTTCGTCAGCAGCGTTTGCTTGCGGTCGGTCTGGCTGTGGAGAGTGTGAGTTGTGGAGAGTGTGATAGCTTGCCCTGATCGCCATGCAGACGCAGATGATGTCCTCCCTCGTCGCCATCACCTCGACTGATCAGTCACGGGTGCTGGTAAGCGAAGAGCAAGCATCAGCGCCTTCGACTCATCAGACTCAAGACTCAAAACTCGGAATTCCATCCACGTGATCGCTTGGCAAACATCTTGGGTCAAGAGCTGAGTCAGAAGAAGAAGAGAGAGTCAAATTTGTCTCGAGTCGCAGCTATTGCATGGGGCTGCGCTGCTTGCTGCTAAGTCTTTGAGTGACCGTCTCACCCGCCCAGCAGTCGTGAGTCATCCAGTCGTCTGCACCTTTGTTGACAGATCAAGTGGCCACGAGCCTGCTGGGTGCCTGCTGCCACCGTATGACCTGCAAAAGATCTCTCTAGCTGTTGTGGTGCTGCGCGCTTCGAACGCGGACTTGAGCGGTGCATGCATGCCTGAGCGCATGCACGCAAGCATGCATGCATGACTGATATTGATTTGGCGCGGCGCCCGCCTCTCGTCTCTCTTCATTCTGTTCTGCCTCGCTACAGTACGCCGGCACAGGTGATTGCGGCTTTGGCGCTGCACATGCCGACCTCGCAGCGGAGTGCAGGAGCCAAGCCTGATGTCTGCACCGCACCGCAGTGCAGCAGCGCACCACAGCAGCAGCAGCAGCGACACGCGCCATTACGCCCATGTGATGACGATCGAGATGCGGCGGCCCCTCTCTCTCTCCTCATCTCAGCAGCATCCATCGAGAGCGCGCGTACAGGAGCAGCTCGATCGACCGTCAGCAGTCAGCACAGTCAGAGTCACGAGTGGGCTCCGCGTTTTGCAGGCGCGCGCGCGCGCATACGCCGAGCGCGGGTGCATGGCCGGGGGGGCAGCTTCTCTCTCGTGTCTCCCTCGTCTCGAGATCTCTGTGCTTGCTGGGTGCGCGGGCTGTATAGAACATCGCCTCACTGCTCTGGCTGGCGCTCTCGACGTGCACATTCATTGCCTCCATCACTTTCGCAACGCTCACTCGTCTCCAGTCCATCCCAATTCAATTCCCATTCTCAAGTCTCCCAGAAGAAACTTTTCCACGCTCGCTCTCACTTGCGACACTCTCTCATCGCTTCATCCAGCTGTCGTCTTACTGCACCAACGCGAAATCTCATCGTCGACCACAGGCTTGGTCTGACGCATACACTCGCCTAGCACACTCGACCCAGCAGCCTTTGCAATCACTCCTGCACCACCCTCTCTGACTGTAAAGAGATGCGCTTCGCCAGAACCTTCTACCTCGCCACCTCTGCGGCGCTCTTGAGCGTCGCTCCGTTGAGCTCTGCACAGAGCACGACTTCGGCAGCTGCGACGCCTCAATCGTCTTACATTCCCACCTCCGGAGCTTCTCCTCAATGCACGCAGTACATGTCCGATCTGAACAGCGACGACACGCTGGAGCAATGCATCGCTCCACTGTTGGAAGCGACCAACTTTTTCGCAAAGTCGACCAACGACACTGCCCCATCCAGCATGGAGCTGACTGGCAGTCTGGACAGGATCTGCTCCGCTTCTGCTTGCGATTCGGGCACCATCAGAAAGAAGCTTTCGGACTTTTACAGCGCTTGCAGAGCAGAGGTGCAAGCTACTCAACAGCAAGTCCTCGAGGTGTACGACTTTTTGTACCTCATCAACCCTTTCCGTCAAGCCGTCTGCACAAAGGACGACTCGCAAAAATACTGCTTGCTGTGAGTGTGGCCGCGCGCATACATTTGGGTGGGGTGAGGGGAGGTGAGGTGAGGTGAGGGGACCAGCTATGGGTTTTGTCTCCATGTCGCGGGAAAGCGGGAGCGAGTCCTGAACGCACGAGCGCTACGCCATCAGCCTGCTTGTCATCTATCGACGCTAATCACCGACTCCCTCTGCCCCCACCCCGCAGCAACATCGCACCCACAGCGGCCAAGACGGCCACCACGAAGCGATCACTGGGCACTGACGACCCCGAACTTTCGGGCGCTGCACGCCGGCACGACGCCGTTCAAGTAGCCGAGGAGATTGTTCGTCGGCAAACGACCGTGGCAGCAGATGACAACCTGGACCAAGGTGTGGGTGCGACGGCAGCGGCTGGCAGCGCGGACACCAACATCGCCTTCTTGTTTCTGCAGCCAGATGCGCAAAAGGATGTGCTGTGCTCCAGCTGCACCAAGAACATCCTTGCGGCCTACATCGAGTTTGAGACTTCCATCCCTTACGCCATCGGTCTCTCTCGCTCTAGCCAGCTAAAGGGTCAGTCGGACTTGTACAAGTCGGCAAAGAAGACGTGCGGCAACGACTTTACCGTTTCCATCAACCAGATTGCAGGAACGACTGCTTTCTCCGAGGTCAGCGCCGCTGGCAAGATGTTGGCTACCTCTGCCGCCGCCGCCGTCGTCGCTCTGCTCGTCTCTGTCGCGCTGCTCTTCTGAATGGGGCTCTAGACCGCGTGCGCACCGCTTCTTGCTCGTGATACCAAGAGCAGGTCTCGAATTTACCGTCAAGATCGGTGCGCATCGCTCACATCGGCGCAACTACGCGCGTCGCCCTCGGCCCAGCCACTTCATCCTTCCACGCCCGCCTCCTTTCCGTCACGAAGACCCGGGATCATTTCACGTCAAGACTGCGATGTTGTTCACTTTTGATTTGCTACTTCTTTTTCATTCTCCCTTCCCCCCCCTTCCTGTTGCGAACGCACACCTCCAATCTGACTCTTTTTTCCGTCTCTCTCTCTCTCTCTCTTATCTCTTTGCGTGTCGTGTTGACTTCGGAGCGGCTGCGGCGATTGCCTTGCCTTGTCGTTGCCTATTCCCGCATGCGCATAGGCGTGCTGCCCCCCCCCCACGCCTCGCGCTCCCTCCCTCTTTTTGCACGCCCGCGCCTCATCCTGACAAAGGAATTGCAATCTTTGATTCGTGTAACTCGACCGTGCCTGATCGAGCTTCCCCCATTGCGTTGGGATGCGCTCGCTCCTGAGACGGTATGCGCCCATGCACGGCGATCGAGGTGCTGGGGGCGCATTCTCGATTGTGATTGTGCAATTCCCCGCCCGCTGTTGTGGGGCGATACGATACGATGTGGGGGCGGGGGGGGAGAGAAATGCGAATCGTGGATGGAAGCCTTTGTGGATCGAGCGTGCGCACGGTTCGAAAGCGTACCTCTCCTGCACAAGGTTCGATCCCGCTTCGGCCGTGCGCACTTGCCACTTTCTTTGCAGAGCTCATTCTGATTGGGAAGGGGGGGGAGTGTTGAGATTGCGGATGCTCCGACCGGGGCAACCTGGGTGGAAATTTTTTTTTTTTCTCTTTTTGTTTTTGCTAGATGAAGTGGAGTGAGAAGCGATGCGACGAGTACAGTATGCGATGAAGTGTGACGATGTAGGTCTCGAATGCGGCGAGGTTGTGATGGTGGTGGTGCGGAAGCAGCGGCGGTGATGGTGGTGCGAGCGCATGAGTCACGAATGATGAAGCGGGAACGGGCTCGTAGAAAATGCTGCGACAAAGCGTGGGAAGGGGGAAAAGAAGGGAGGTGGGAGGGGAAAACGCAACCTAAGGCAAAAGGGAAACGCGAGGGGGCGCGTCCATGGCAAGGGCCAAGGGCTAGAAGTCGCAAGTCTCTCCGAAGCGCTCGAGATGCTATTTGGGGACACCGCATCGGGGGGG